TCTTCAGAAGCAAAGTTCACTGGTGTAGCAAGCTGAAAGACAAGTTCACAACCTGCTATAGGGGCATCAAAATCCTTTTCACTTGTTAAATCTGCTCCAAATATGTTCAGTTCGCCCAAACTTTTCAGTGCTAAAAGGTGATATATTTTCTTAGTATTATCTGCACCAAAACACTAAGTTAGGAAATTTTATTCATAAAAAAAAGTTGTACTTAGACAAGAGGAACAATAATAAGATGACACATTTTTATATTTGACATAATATAAAAGTAAAATAGTCATAAACAAATAAATGAATTTTTGTATTTTAAAAACAAAAATAAGAAAAGATAATGTCAAATAAATATAAAAATTTTATGTGTCAAAATATAATTTTTCTAGATAAATTTATTATAACTGATGGACACCTTTCAAAACTATACCTGGTAAGTCAAAATAGAGAAGAAAAAATATTGCAATAATATCAGTCTTGTACGACTTGGTACCTCAACTTTTATGCAGCATTGTCTTTCGTATAATTAAGTGATACGAGAAAAAACTTTACCAGCAAAACGAAATGGTTTTTGTGAATGAATTTGTGACTTAAATACTCAAGTGTTTATCTATCATCATCACACTCCATGTAACCATAGTGTTGTTGAATCTATAAGATCGTGATATGATATGACATCATGGTATATAAAAAGAGAAAATGTATCAGAAAAAATAAATTAAAATCATTCTTTTTCTTCCTCTAACAAAACATTATAGACAGTAATTTTGGTGTGATCCTTTAGAAAAAAAGTTAGTGTATAAACAATTTTACAATGAGACATTTGAGATAGAGAGAGCAACCTGGATCTCTAACAGTGGTGTTGACAGCATAACCCTTCTGAAGCAATTGCTTTACCAAGCAAGAGCCCATAAATCCGCTTCCACCTATCACACATGCCTTCCTTCCAATTTTGTTGACACTGGCCATGATTTCACACTCAAAGGATGAAACTTACAGCAGGACAGTTTTTTTTATGTTACATAAGGAGAGAAGGTTCTTAAATAATAATAATGTTTCAGCTACTAAACCCGAAATACCGTTATGTCTCTGGTGTAAGTTTAAGGTGAGCACGTGATGATGTTTGGTGGTTTGTTCTCACCAACGACTACATCAGCGACAAGTCCTTGTAGACAAGAACATTTTCATCTACTGTCAACTCTTCATTCTTCTATTCAAGATGCCAAACTGAATTAAAAATCTTCACCTCATTTTCCATCTCTAACTTTCAATCTTACACCAATGGCAAAATAAATGGGGATATATTACAAAATCTATCATATTTCACTATCAAAAACCTTGTTCCATTACTTACTTTCCATATATACATTTATTAATTCTTTTTTTCATTCATTAGCGTGCTCCATTAATATATATCTCAAAATTTCCTTTTCACATTTTTCCCTCAAAGGAATTTTGACAATGCGCAAATAAATGTACTTTCTTCATTTTTCATATAATAAATCCATTTGGAGTAGTTTGTGCATTTGTTGATTTCACTATAAATTATTGCAAATTAAAAAAAATCATGGAATATTTTTACTGTATTTACACTTTTTTTTCTAGTATTTGTGTGTCAAGTACAATATAATAATTTTATTGATAACACTCGCCTTTTTTTTTCTTTAAATTCATATATAAACTTTTTTCTAAATATAATAGGGAGATATATTGGACAGTTCTAACAAATTTCCCACCTCATTTTTAAGATTATTTAATCTAAATATTTTTTATATTCTTTTCAGTAAGTTATTGCTTAAATGTTTCTTTTTATCGTCCAAACAACTACATATAGTTTTAAAGAATTTGTTCATTTATAGCACTAAAAACATGATATAGATTTTATTATAATTAATTTTAAGGAAATTCAGTTGTAAAACATGTAATTGATTATTAAAAAAATTTACATACTTCATATATGTTTAGATGAATAGGTCCTTACTGAATATGGATGAAAAATTACACACGGTCACCTACCCGCACCTCATCTTTCATCTCTAACATTGAATCTTACACCAATTGGAAAATAAATGATCAAACATATATGGATGAAAAATTACGGTTCATGTGAATAGGTCCTTACAGAATTCAGGAGATGACAGGAAAAAGTCTAAGTCTCAGATAGAGTCCCTTGATTGAGGCATTATTTTAATAACGTAGCATATATTTAATCTCCTTTTTTATTATAGTTAAGTTAAATTCTTATTCTTAATATCAGACATTGTTTTGTCAAATTTAGTTGTTATGTTTTCGTATCTACTCACCTGCTTGTAGATTTTTGATCCTGAACCTTGGGAAGGGGTGTTTTTTAGATAAGGTTTCTAATTTCAAATATTAATTAAGATTTTAAGACCAACGTAAATCATATAGGACTTTATCCTTTTTATATAGCTATAAAACTATTGTACTGACAATGACTTAAATAAAAAAGATAGGATTTACACACTGAATGCTATAACTGAGTCGTACTTAACTAGAATGAACATCAAAATGATCAAAATTTAGTTTGAGTGCCCCCTTACTGCCTAAGTAGTCCAAACTGTGTTCAAAAATTTCTTCAATTCCATGCTTGAATCTGAACCCTTCTTTTACAAGCTTCTCTGAAGATATGACAAACTTTGCCTTGGAGGGCATATCATCGAATCTGCAATTACAGAGTCATACTTAGCTTCGATAGAAATGTAAGATATGTTTCTGCAATTTTAGAGCAGTATGAAGTAATTTTCAAGTCAATTTCATTCCGAATATAATCGTAAAGATGAAATTCCTTGGAAAAAAATGCTAGACAAAGAAAGAGCCAAGAGGCTAGTGTATTTACTGCTATAGACATTTCGCACCGAATTTAAGGTTAGAAGCTTACTCGGTTGGAATTTGGCACTGAGGGTATCTTTTTCTTAGAAACTTTGCAAGTTCAGGAATGCTGGTATTATGAGCACAGACAATGTATCTGCCAGAAGCTGATTCTTTCTCTGCCAAAAACACATGCGCACGGCAGATATCCTCCACATGTGTGATAGATATTGAACCTGACAGCAATTGAATATCTTTGAAAGCCTTAAGGAAGAAATCATTCCCTGCAAGGTGTCAGCAAAATGCATCAAAACATTCATGAATTAATTGGTATGGTGCTTAGAAATGTGGCAGGTGTTAAGGTGTTAAGTTTATTGGATATGGTAGTTTGTGAACCTGTTATAAGGGACGTAGCCAACACAACACTGGTGGGGATGTCTTGAGTGATAGAAGGACCAGTTGTGAGAGTAGGTATCACAGTGATCAGATCAATGTGATTTTCTTCAGCAAATTTCCATGCAGCTTTCTCTTCCAGTGCTTTAGAGGCAGGATATCCCTACACATATATACATGAACTTTAATTTCATAATATTAAGATCTTCTAACTATTTGTTAGAATAAACTATTTCCTAAACAATTTCAGATTACTCAGCAATCATTATATCATCCAAAATCTATCAAGTTTTCGAAATGGTTTTCAAAACAAAAAAAACAACAGACAGTTGAAAGCCATTCTAGCATTATCTTCTTGTAAAGTGTTTTCTTCATCTGCTCCAGAGACAAACTTCTAGTAAAAAGAAAGACAAGCAGGCATTTTAACGTGCGCTTGGGGGGCAAACAAATTTTCCAAAACAAAAATGGTGTTCAAAGATAGTAAACAAACAAGGCATCAATCATTTTCAGTGAGGAATGGCACAAGCTCATCTTAAGTGATTAAGGTTCGGTTATTTACCCAACCATGCGGTTTTGCAGTCCTCAAGTACTCAACATCTGTCCAATTGCTTTCATCCATGACTAAATCTGTCCCATTGTTAATGGTTACTGCAGCAGTTGAAGATGTTAAGATGACTCGTTTGACTTCTTTTGCTCTAGCACATGCTTTCAACACATTCAATACGCCTAAGATTGCTGGTTTGATCATGTCATTCTGAATAA